CTATAATACCAGCACTCAGAAAACTGAAGCAGGAGAGTCAGGTCACATGTTCTAGACTACTCTGGGCTATTAGATTTCAAGCCAGTGTGTGCTACATAGCATAATCTTGTCTCTAAAAAAAAACAGTCAAGCCAGGCTCTGGTGGCTCATGCCTATAATCCTAGCTACTCAGGAGGCTGAGATTTGAGGATCAAGGTTCAAAGCCAGCCTGGCAGGAAAGTCCATGGAACTCTTATCTCCCATAAACCACCAGAAAACCAGAAGTAGCGCTGTAGCTCAAGTGGTAGAGCCCTTGCCTTGAGCTGAAGAGCTGAAGGACAGCGCCCAGGCCCAGAGTTCAAGCCCCACAACAGGCAAAAAAAAGCCAAGCACCAATGGGTCACACCTGTAAATCCTAGCTACTCAGTAGGCTGAGATCTGAGGATTGTGGTTTGAAACCAGCCTAGGCAGGAAAGTATCTCTAGTTAACTACTAAGAAAAAAAAACAGAAATAGTGATGTGGCTCAAATGGTTCACTGTTTGTTTTGAGCAAAAAAACTCTGGGTACCAGGTGCTAGTGGCTCATGCCTATAATCCTAAGATCTGAGGACTGTGGTTTGAAGTCATATGAGGCAGAACAGTCTCCGTGATACACTTAATCTCCAATTAACCACTCAAAAACTGGAAGTGGCACTGTGGCTCAAGTGGTAGACTATTAGTCTTGAGCACAGAGGCTCAGGGATAGCACTCAGGGCCAGGATAAACACCAAAGGAAAGAAAAAAAGGGGGTGGGGTGGGGAGGTAGTCCCTAAAGTAGACAAAGAATTTTTTTCCCTCATTTCGGATTTAGGGGTGAAACATTCTAGCCTCGCACCAGTGGTTCATGCCTATAATTCTAGCTACTGAGGAGACTTGAGGAATAGAGGATCCTAGTTCAAAGCCAGCTCAGGGAGAAAAGTCTAAAAGACTCCATTTCCAAAAATAACCAGTAATAAGATAGGTTGGTAGTATGGCTTAAGTGGTAGAATGCCAGCCTAACAAATGCAGAGCCCTGAATACGAGAAAAAGAAAAAAAAATTCTACCTGAGAGTACCAGCTGCTTATCCTCACCCTTTACAGGTTGTGCCAGGCTATGGTCATGCAGTACTAAGGAAGACTGATCCACGATATTCCTGTCAGCGAGAGTTTGCACTGAAACACCTGCCTAATGATCCCATGTTTAAGCTGGTTGCTCAACTGTACAAGATTGTGCCCAATATCCTCTTAGAGCAGGGCAAGGCCAAGAATCCATGGCCCAATGTTGATGCTCACAGTGGCGTGCTGCTTCAGGTGAGTCCTTCCTTCCAATTTCAATCACAACCTACTGTTCTGCCATGTACAAAATCAACTCCCTGAGACAGAGCATGGACTTTGATAAAGGACTCCTATAGAGTCCTTTGATAAAGTTGTCTATGGTGAGGTCAGGGATTGTTCTTTCAGAATCCCAATGTGTGCTTTTCTTAGTGTCATTTTTTTTTTTTGGGTCCGGTTGTGGGGCCTGAACTCTGGGCCTGGGCGCTGTCCCTCAGCTCTTCAGCTCAAGGCTAGCGCTCTACCACTTGAGCCACAGCGCCACTTCCGGCTTTTTCTTTTTGCTTATGTGGTGCTGAGGAATCGAACCCAGGGCCTCTTGCATGCAAGGCAAGCGCTCTACCACTGAGCCACTTTCCCAGCCCCTTAGTGTCATTTTTGTTTAAGGTTGACTGGGCAACATCCCTAGAGAAAAAGAGAAAATGGGGCCTCTAAGAGTCCTTTCACACTGGACTTGTACATACCACTTCCTCTAGACCTCCTTTTCTTCGAATATAGGAATTGGACTCCGGGGCTTTGTTTGTGGTAGCCAAGCACTTTACCACTGACCTACATCCTTAGCTCTGCCTCTGAACCTTTAACAAAGCTTTTTTCTCTTCTGTCTTACAGTACTATGGCATGACGGAGATGAATTACTACACAGTCCTGTTCGGGGTGTCACGGGCACTGGGTGTGCTGGCACAGCTCATTTGGAGCCGAGCCCTAGGCTTCCCTCTAGAAAGGCCCAAATCCATGAGCACAGATGGTCTGATGAAGTTTGTGGACTCTAAGTCAGGGTAAAACTAGAGTTGTGGAAAGCTGACTACAAGAAAATGAGGAAGCTTAAAAATAAAGTATACTTTTGTTTCATGGGGCCTTTAAAGACTTAAGATTAAATTGTATCTGAGGCACTGAATATATGTTTGAAGTTAAAATATAAACAAAGACTTTAAAAGATGAAAAGTGACCCCCCCCTTCTTCCCTAACCAGCTCCCTTTCTCTGCCTAGTATGAGTTGCCCATCAACTGTAGGATGACCAGGACTAATGCATGTGGTATGGGTTAGAGTTGGCCACCCACCCCCCAACTCCAGAATGAGAATCTGGCTCTTCTTCCCTCAAATCAAAGCAGATTTAGGAGAATCTGCATTCACTCTGGAGCTTTTGCTTCTTTGCCCAGCCCTCTAGGCCAACAGATCAGAATTTTTTCTTATAGTTCCATAGGAATCGATGCTAAATTGTCAGCTTTGTCAAGCCTAATGTTCCTCTCCTGTACACAGACACCTAGAAAGACCTATTGGTTTGCTGGACGTGTTTTGGCCATTTTTTTGTATACTACCAGGTGGCCATAAAGGCATCAATCACACGTGTTGTGAGTGGCACCCACTGTTTGATTTGATCACTTTTTAAAATTAGCCCATTAAAATTAGGGCCTGGGAGTATTCAGTTTCCTACTGCTTGAATACCTCCTTCCAGGCTCTCTATACCTGCCGTGCCTCAAGCTGAGGATGCTCTAGGTCTTTCCCTGTTGGTCCATACCAGAGACCTGAGCAGGTCTGTCTGAACTGTGGTCTTTTAGTTATTTGGCTTTATCAGTACTTAATGTGAACTAAGCTTTTTACATTTACAGAATACAAGCCACTACCCACTGATCTGTTTCCTGGGGCCTTTTTTGTCCTTTATTAATAGGCTGTGGCGCATACAACAGAAGCTCTCAGGGATGGCCAGCCCTTTTGTGGTATGGTCAAAGGGTTCTAGCATTTCTTTTTGAACAGAGAAGTGATTGGAGATGGTCCTTTTGAATATCCAGTCCAAGGGCTGGGGGCATTCAAAATAATAAACCTCCCCATGTCATTCCCTACCACCAGAAATTGTTCCCTTATTTATCAGTCTCCTGCCCCCTCCTCAAGAACGCACAGAACAGTGTTTGTTTTAGAAGCCTCATTTGCACAGGTTTTCAGTGGCTCAGAATGCTCTACTACCTTTTCCTTGAGAAAGGATTGAGACACACTCCTGCTGTGCCCCCTTTTCCCAAAACCCCTGCCTGTGTTTGTGTAGAATCTAAACCTCAGAACCACGCTGTTGAGATGGACACTGTAAAACCCCTGGGTAACTGTTAAGTCATGATGCAAACTTCAGGTTGTTCTGTATAAAAATAAAAATAAATGTTTTTATTAACAATGCTTGAGCCTGCTACTAAATAAGTCCTGGAGGAATCTTTATTTTGAGGCAAGGAATCTGAAAAACCAGGTCCTGAACTTAGTGAGTTATAAGTTATTCTATGCATCAGAGGAAAAGCTCCCTGTGAGATTTCCAAAGGAGTCTTCTTCGTCAAGGTTAGGAAGTCCTTTACCTTTAGCCTCCATCCTTCCTTCCTAGTTTCATAGTAAAGTAGAACACTCAAGGACTGTGGCTGAGACATCACAGCTGCTTATGTGACTCATCTAAGAACTGGTCTAGCCCACTGGGTGAAAGGAACAAATTATAGCAAGGACAAATTGGACTAAGACTACTAGCTCAAGACCTGAACACTAGAGGGCTCTAGTTGTCATTAGGTACCTGTTTATTTATTTTTTATTTTATTTTTTTTCTGGTTGTGGGAGCCTAAACTCTGGGCCTGGACACTTTCCCTCAGCTCTTCAGCTCAAGGCTAGCGCTCTACCACTTGAGCCTCAGTCCTACTTCCGGCTTTTTCTGCTTATATGGTGCTGAGGAATCGAACCCAGGGCCTCATACATGCAAGACAAGCGTTCTACCACTGAGCCACCTTCCCAGCACCTGTTTATTTTTTATTTATTTATTTTTGGTCTTGGGGCTTTAACTTTGGGCCTGGGCGCCATCCCTGAGCTCTTCAAGCGCAAGGTGAGCACACCACTTGAGCCACAGCGCCACTTCTGGTTTTCTGGTGGTTAATTGGAGATAAGAATCTCATGAGGGTGCTGGGAAGGTGGCTCAGTGGTAGAGTGCTTGCCTTGCATGCATGAGGCCCTGCGTTCGATTCCTCAGCACCATATAAGCAGTAAAAGTCAGAAGTTGTGCTATGGCTCAAGAGGTAGAGTGCTCACCTTGAGCAAAAGAAGCTCAGGGACAGTGCCCAGGTCCTGAGTTCAATCCTCAGGACTGGCAATAAATAAATAAATTTAATCGGAAGTGATGCTGTGGCTCAATTGATAGACCACTCACCTTGAGCTGAATCGCTGAGGGACAGCGCCCAGGCCCAGAGTTCAGGCCCTATGACCAACAACAACAAAAAAGTCTCATAGACTTTCCTGCCCAGGCTGGCTTTGAACCGCAATTCTCAGATCTCAGCCTCCTGAGTAGCTAGGATTACAGGCATGAGCCATTGGCGCTGGCAGGTACCAACTTTTCTTTGCAGCTTTCACTAAGGAGCACCCCCAAATAAGAAGGGGTGGTCCTCAGGCATCAGCTACAAGGGCATCAGACCTCTGGTCTGAAACCATATGTTTCTGTCCTGAGACGCTGTAAATGACCTTCTGTAAAGGCTATAAATAGGCAAGTGGGTGGGTACTAAGTCCTGGAATGTAGAATGTGCTACTATAGTTAGCAGGGACACTATGTCCAAGAAGCTTTTTTACACTTTAACTCCCCTGGGAAAGGAAGCAATGGCTTTCTTCTACTTAACTATATGTACATTAGCCCCCTCCCCAAAAGAAATAATACAAAAAAAGACAAATTCACACTGTCACAGTTTATTGAGATTTTATAAAAACTCAAGTCATGTGGAAGAATAAGGTGCAACCCATTAGTTCAGACAATTCTGTTCAGTACTTCTTTTTCCACCATGTGGCACTTATGAGGAGAGCTGCTCTCTCTACTAGACAGACAGCATGGAAATACTCAAACTGAAGCAGGCTGCCTTGTCTCCTGAGGAAGCTAAGGTAAAACAAAAGTTACCACCCAAAACCTCTGAACCAGAGAAAGCTCTGTTTACTTAAGCCTTCAAGAAGTTAACTTTCTTCCCTTGGTCAGATATTTATAAAGTGCCCTGACAGAGCTCAGTGACAAAAGACCTGGTTCTAATTGAATGTGAAAAGGCTGAACTTTAAAGAAAAGCCTGACCTTTTCTATTCATGTCTTACTTGCATATCACCTGCCTTTTCCACAACATTTTCAGCCAGCATAGAGTCCACTTTTTATAAAACTGAGAGGAGAAATGGTACTATGAACATAGGTCCCTCTCAAAGTTGGGGCCAAACAAAATAAATAATTGCATAGGAAGGGGAAATAGAAGGGAGGCTAGATGAGCAATCCTTTGCCTCAAGTCTGGTGCACCTCATGGAACATCAGTTCACGGGGGATGACTGTTTCTGGACCAAACTTTGTGGCCGCCCGGCGTTCGAAGGCAGCAACATTCTGTTTGACAACCTCATCAAAAAACATGGTGGCCAGCTGGGAGTGCAGCAGAGAACGAAATTCAAAGGTAATCTGGGAATGTGTAAGAAATATTGTCAGAACCTCTTGAAAACCATGTTCAGTAGTCCCTGGCTGAATGGGAAGGTACTGATCCATAGTGTCTGTCTTTACTCTCTATCCCCCCACTCCTGTTTTAGACTCCTTCAAGAGCACCAATTTAGGACTGGGCAGAGTAAAAGTTCCATACAAACCCAGGCATCTGAAAACTTGATTTAAGAGATGTTTGGGCCGGACGCTGGTGGCTCAGGCCTGTAATCCCAGCTACTCAGGAGGCTGAGATCTGAGGATC